TCTCTCTCTCTCTCTCTCTCTCTCTCTCTCTCTCTCTCTCTCTCTCTCTCTGTGGCATCTGGTGTTGTAGTTAAAGCCATGAAAACTACTTCATTATATATTAGTATCATGCTGGTGAATCTCACCACTTGGACTGATAGAATTTCAGCCCGTCGTTGTTACTTCAGTGCCCTATTCTTCAAGTGTGACTTGCTCACTTCAACTGGGATATTATCTGGCCTAGTAGTTTTTCCGTGTTTTATGTTCTTAATGGTAACTTATTCATTTATTTTCTTGGGTAAGTGTTTTACGGCGCTTGCAACTGCCTAAGGTCATATGAGCTCGAGGGACACATTAAACATTTTTAGTTTGTAGGACATTTTCAATTTTTCATGGGTTGCGGCCGAAGCCTAATCTTATCAATATTAGACCATCAAGGGATCTTTAACGTGTGCGACTTGCACACGGAACCTCCGAGATTTCTCACCCTGTGCGAGAAAGCTAGGTGTAGATCTTTCCTACCAGAAGATCAGGGGTGTGGCTGAAAGACAGCAGTAGGAAGGAGCCAAGGAGCAACAGTAGAAAGGCTTCAGAAAGAGCCAGAGGGGGTGGGGGAAGAAAGTGTAGATGAAAGCAGATGATAGAACATTGTTAGAGAGCAGGAAAGGAGATGAAATGAGACAATTTTAGAGAAGACAATTTTTTCCTCGTTACCCGGTTTCGAACCCTGGACCTTTGAATGAGTGTAGGCCACGAGAGCCCCCAATGGTAGCTTAAACTTGTGCTTTCAGTATTGGTGGTTTATTTATTTCCTTTTAAATCAAATACCGAATTTTGACCTCTACATATTTTTTCCAGAGAATGCTGTTCTTCAAAGTACATTTATGCATATTATACCTATAGGTTGATCTATTAAGAAACTGTTTAGTTTTGCGTTCTGCTCAATTTTGGTGGTAATTTTTAAAACACCGTATTTCTCTGATTAATCACTTGATTTCCTTCATACTGAGAAATCTGACATCCCTTTGGTTAAGGTTTATAATTAATTGTTCCAAGTTTTGTTGAAACTGATGCAAAGATGACACAGTTATTGCCCTTCAAATGGGTCCGTTTTGGGACATCCTATGCTATGACCGTTATGTTTTTCCTATCCTTTGTCTTTTTCTCACACCCCCTGAGTGACAGAATGTTAGAGCCATGTTCTTTCTATCTTTTGTCTTCTTCACAGACATCCGGAGTGACAGAATGTTAAAGCCATGTTCTTTCTATCCTTTGTCTTCTTCACAGACATCCGGAGTGACAGATTGTTAGAGCCATGTTCTTTCTATCTTTTGTCTTCTTCACAGACATCCGGAGTGACAGATTGTTAGAGCCATGTTCTTTCTATCCTTTGTCTTCTTCACAGACATCCGGAGTGACAGATTGTTAGAGCCATGTTCTTTCTATCTTTTGTCTTCTCTGCAGGCATACAGAGTGAAAGAAATTTTATTCTTATCTTTTGTCTTCTTCACAGACATCTGGAATGACGGCAATGTTCTTCCTATATTTTGTCTTTTCTGCAGGCATACAGAGTGACAGAAATGTTCTTCCTATCCTTTGTCTTCTCTGCAGGCAATGTTCTTCCTATATTTTGTCTTCTCTGCAGACATACAGAGTGACAGAAATGTTCTTCCTATCCTTTGTGTTCTCCTCAGACATCCGGAGTGACAGAGTGTGAGAGCCATGTTCTTCCTATATTTTGTCTTCTCTGCAGGCATACAAAGTGACAGAACGTTACAGCCATTTTCTTCCTATCCTTTGTCTTCTCCACAGACATCTAGAGTGACAGAGTGTGAGAGCCATGTTCTTTCTATCTTCTGTCTTCTCTGCAGGCATACAAAATGACAGAACGTTACAGCCATTTTCTTCCTATCCTTTGTCTTCTCCACAGACATCTAGAGTGACAGAGTGTGAGAGCCATGTTCTTTCTATCTTCTCTGCAGGCAATGTTCTACCTATCTTTTGTCTTTTCTGCAGGCATACAGATTGACAGAAATGTTATTCCTATATTTTGTCTTCTCTGCAGGCATACATAGTGACAGAGCGTGAGAGCCATGACCGGGTATGCAGGCGGTATGACGTCAGTGTCCAACTACTGTTGGGTGATGGTGGCCTGCAGTTTTGCGGTGCACATGATCACGTCCGGCACCATGTTCTCTCTGGGAGTCCTCTACGTCTCCTGGCTACAAGACTTCGGACAGAGCAAAGGGCTCACCTCCTGGGTGGTCTCCATCGGCGTGGCGTTTTTGTTCGGCATCGGTAGGCCACGCCACGAGTCACGGAGTCACGTGAGAGATATCACGTCGCTTCCTCAGAATCACAAAGGTCTACATGTAACATTCTTAGCCGTTTTGAATTACGAAGAACGCCACGAGGTCAGAAAGTAAATGTTCTGTCTGCTCTATCAAAATCGTACGATTATTCGTAGTCGTTATCAAGATATTCAAAGAATTGTTTTCGAAAAAGCTTGATATTTTGTGAATGTGAAACACACAATTATTATTTTTAACCTCAAGTTTCTTTAAACTAGATACTGAACAGATAGAACTTTGTAACCCTGGGGTAGCGACGTGGGTCCTGTCGTGCAGACTGCCGTTGTTGGTAGCAGTAAAGTATGTTTGTTGTTTGTTTTTGTAAAGTGTTTTACGGCGCTCGCAACTGCATAGGTCATATGAGCGCGCGGGACACACCTAATATTTTCAGTTGGTAGGAAATTTTGAATTTTGCCCGGGTGGCGGCCGAAGCCTACTCTTATCGCTTTTAGACCACCAAGGGATCTTTAACGTGCGCAACTTGCACACGGGTCTTCCGAGATTTTTCGCCCTTGTCCGAGAAGGCTAGGTGTAGATCTTTCCAACCAGAAGATCAGGGGTGTGGCAGAAAGACAGCATTAAGGAGGAGCCAAGGAGTAGCAGTAGAAAGGCTGCAGAAAGAGTCAGGAGCCCAGAGGAGGGGGCAAAGGAGGTGAAGGGGTGGGGGGCAGAAAGTGGAATTGAAAGCAGACAACAGAACATTGCTAGAGAGCAGGACAGGAGGTGAAAGGAGACAATTTTAGAGAAGAAAATTTTTCGGTCGCTACCCGGATTCGAACCGGGGATTTTTGAATGAGAGGCCAACACCTTAACCTCTAGGCCACGAGAGCTCCCTAGTAAAGTATGTATACCTTTGCTCTAAGTCTAAGGATCGGAAACATGGAAACTTACAAAACAAACTTCTAAAAAGGTACATACATGACATATATACATTTCTCAACGGCTGCTTGAGAAAAATACTATAAAATCATTGGCCTGATACAGTAAGTGAACAACTAACTATGAGAGCAAACCCATCAAAAGAAAATATATATTGAAATCAGAAAGGTATGTCCAACCCACTGGCGACCGAGAGACGTCTTTTTCTTCCCGCGACACCCAAAAGGTATAAGCGGCGGATGAAAGTTAAAAAAAGAAAAAGAAATCAGAAACAGAAAATGGAAGTGGGTTTGACAATTAGACATACCTTCCCTTCACCGATCCATAAACGAATCCTCCAAGAAAAAGACGGAAAGGAATGCCTACATTAAATTGTCGAAAGATGTATGCCGAGAGGCAATTTGTGTCACGTATCATTATATGCCATGTCTGTCTATGTCACGCCATTGATACCATGTCACGTATACTGTTACAATTACGGGAGTGGGTGGGTGGGGGGGGGGGGAGCACAGATGTGTATGACCCTTTGTGTGTGTGGGCCATGGCACGTAAACTATTTCTTCTGTGCACATGCTGCTTTGAAAACACCTGCATTATTGTAACACTTACTTACTTAGTTACTACCCGTTACGCCATCTGGCGTTTAGCGAAGCATCAAAGGATCTCCAGACTTTATTGTAACACTTACTTACTTAGTTACTACCCGTTGCGCCATCTGGCGTTTAGCGAAGCAACACCATCTGGCGTTTAGCGAAGCAACACAGGATCTCCAGACTTTATTGTAATCTACCTTTATATTCAGAAGATGGGATGTGCGGGTGAGGAAGATAAAGCATTATATTTTCGATATGGTTACCATCGTTTCGTTTTGTTTAGTTGTTGTTGTTTTTTGCTCCATCTTTCCCAGGACCACTTCCGTCCGCGCTGATCGCCAAGTTCGGTAACCGCGTGGTTCAGATGACCGGAAGTCTCATGGCCAGTCTCGGGTTCGCCCTCGGTTACTTTGTGACGTCAGTGCCTCAGCTCATCCTCACTGTGGGCGTGGTTGTAGGTTCGGTGATTTGTCATACCCTCTGTCTGTGTGTGTGTGTGTGTCTGTTTGTCTGTCTGTCTGTCTGTCTGTCTGTCTTTTTGTAGGTCATTTTGTTATACCCTCCGCCCGTCTGTCTGTCTGTCTGTCTGTCTGTCTGTCTGTCTGTCTGTCTGTCTGTCTTTTTGTCTGTCAGTTTGTCATACCCTCCATCCGTCTGTCTGTCTGTCTGACTGTCTGTCTGTCTGTCTGTCTGTCTGTCTGTCTGTCTGTCTGTCTGTCTGTCTGTCTGTCATACCCTCCGTCCGTCTGCATTCTGTCTGTCTGTCTGTCTGTCTGTCTGTCTGTCTGTCGCTTGCTCGATTCTCTCCATCACTGATTTTTTTCCTATCCAGCTCCTCGTCTGCTTCCTGAGCTTTCTCTCATCTGTCTAGAGTTCTCAAATTATATCTGACTAGCTGGGTACCCCGTTCGATGAACGGACTCAAAAAGAATCGATCGTCAAGTCATTGTGGGAACAGTGCTCACTGCATGTGAACGAAGGTCTCACCTGTTTACAGTGGCGTCTTAGAAGACGAACTTTCACAAGATTAGATCTAAATGAAACTAATAAAAATGGAAAATTAAATCCACTGACTTAGACTCCTTGATATAACTGTGCACCCGTTCAAATGATTCTGAACCACCATAAATTTTTTCCAAATTCGAAAGTTAACTGGTTCGGATTAAGCGACCAAAGTGACCAACTTTCACAAATATAATAGATATTAGAATCGTGTTACGTTCTGACAAGTAGATCTATTTTGTTTCGGACTTTTGGTCTTTTCCCACCCCTCCACCATCCTACCCCCTCCCCCCATCACTTTCAATCAATCTTTGTGGTGGATCTAATCATAACCTTGACCTTTACCCCCCCCCACCCATCACTTTCAATCAAGCTTTGTGGTGGATCTAATCATAACCTTGACCTTTACCCCCCCTACCCATCACTTTCAATCAAGCTTTGTGGTGGATTTAATCATAGCCTTGATCTCCCCCCCCCCCCCTCTTTTTTTCACACCCGCAGGGATTGGGTGGCGTCGGTGGTCTAGTGGTTAGATTCTTGCAACTGGACTAACAATCGTGGGATTGTGGGTACGGGGCTTCGAGCCTCAGCTCGGTCCGGCGTTGTGTCCTCTGGAAAAGCACTTTACACGAATCTCATATTTGGCTCGGTCCTTTCGGAAATGGACGTTAAACTCTTAAATAACCTACGGACTTCAACATAAGTTAAGGACCACTTGGAAATTAATGGTTAAGATTCCCAGAGGATTTCCATGCTGCACGTGCTGGTTTTGCTTCCTTTTGGAAGCTTTGCAGTACGATTGTTAATCCACACTGTCATAGCAACAACAACAAAAATTGAAAAATTCCTTGCTGTCTTTTTTTTTCGAATTAAAAAAAACATCAGTGATGTCTGTCAATGTGGTCCTTAATGTATATTGAAATTTATAGTTGTATTGATATGAGTGTTAAATTATTCCATTTCACCATTTCACAGGTATCGGTCTAGGCTTCAACTACCTGCCCGCCGTGACTATGATAGCCGAATACTTTAACAAGCGACGGTCTATGGCCTACGGTATCGCCACTGCTGGCGTCGGTATCGGTTCCTTTCTGCAGGCACCGCTGATCAACTGGTTGGAGGAACAATACGGCTGGCGAGGCGCCATGCTCATTTTGTCTGGTTTCCCGCTTCACTTGAGCATCCTGGCTCTGTTGATGAAACCGCGCGCAGATTTCGCCCAATACGAGTTGGACGTGGGGGAGAAGGTGGAGAAGGATGGTGAGAGCACCGATGTCAAGGACAGCAGCGTTTTGGTTGAGAGGGTCACGGTTGGTGAGGTTGACCGTGGGTCGAAGGATGCACCTCTCATGAAGGATGTCGGTGGAGAAGTTAAGACGGATAGTGCCTCTAGTCAGTCTCCAGACAACCAGCCTCAAGGCAACGTTTTAGTTCGGGGCTTACACCACCTCCTAGACCACTTCTCACTGCTCAAAGACAAGATCTTCTTCTCCCTAGCCCTCAGTAACATCTTCACCAACCTGTCTTTCCTCATGCCCGTTTTCTACATGGTAGATCGAGCAGTGGAAGCGGGCATTGACAAGTCTTCAGCCGCCCTGTTGGTTTCTGTAAACGGCATCGGAAATGTGGTAGGCCGTATCTTGTTCGGACTGTTGGGTGATCTCCCTTGTGTGGACAGCGTGGTGTTGTACGTGCTCACGCTCACGGTGTGTGGGGCTGGCACGTGCGTGAGTCCGGTGTGTGGTGGGAGTCTCGTCTTACAGGGAGTCTACTCAGCCTTCTTCGGGATCTTTATGGGTGAGTGGTTTGTATGTTCGTGGTCAATGGTTGGTGGTGACTGGGACATCTTATGACAGAAAGCTGAGAACCGAGCAGAGTGGAAGACGCTGGTTTCGTTGTAAAATCTGAGGTTGTTACCCAACAGTCAGCAAGACGGGGGCTCTCGTGGCCTAGAGGTTAAGGTGTTTGCTTCTCATTCAAAGGTCCCGGGTTCGAATCCGGGTAGCGACCGAAAATATTTCTGTTCTAAGATTGTCTCCTTTCACTTTTCTTCCTTCTCTTTTGCAATATTATGTCGTCTGCTTTCGTCTCCTCTTTCTGTTCCCACCCCCCTCACCTCATTTGCCCCCTCCTCTGGGCTCTTGACTCGTTATGCATCCTTTCTACTGCTACTCCTTGACTCTTTCTTACTGCTGTCTTTCAGCAACACCCCTGATCTTCTGGTAGGAAAGATCTACACCTAGCCTTCTCGGACAAGGGCGAAAAATCTCGGAGGGCCCATGTGCAAGTTGCGCACGTTAAAGATCCATTGGTGGTCTAAAATCGATAAGAGTAGGCTTCGGCCGCCACCCGGGCAAAATTCAAAATTTCCTTCCAATTGAAAATGTTTGGTGTGTCCCGCGCGCTCATATGACCTTATGCAGTTGCGAGCGCCGTAAAAACGTTTACCAAAACAAACAAAAACAAAAGTCAACAAGACTACAGGTAAGGTGGAGAGAGAGAGAGAGAGAGAGAGAGAGAGAGAGAGAGAGAGAGAGAGAGAGAAAGAGAGAGCGCTCTTTACCAGTTTGTTGGAGAGAGTATTGACTTGCTAATGGTATGATAGGAGAAAGACTTGAGTGACTAAATGGAAAGATGATTTGAGTGACTAAATGGATAGATGATTTGAGTGACTAAATGGATAGATGATTTGAGTGACTAAATGGATAGATGATTTGAGTGACGCAATGGAGAAATGATTTGAGTGACTAAATGGATTAATGATTTGAGTCACTTGGTTGATAGATTATTCAGTGACTTAGTCGATACGATGTGAGTGATTTAATCAATGGATTAATTCATGGATAAATGATTTGAGTCACTTAATTGGTAGATGATTTTAACCACTTTGTTAGTAGACGATTTGAGTGACGCAGCGGATGTAATCGAGCTGTTTGGCTGGAGAGAGATGTGAATGATTTATTAGATACGTCACTTGAGAGAGCTGTAAGGCATACACATCAACACAAACAGTCAAACAAACCCCAGCACATCACTTCACCTTTACCTATCCCGTAGACTGGAAGTCCGTCAGGACGCTTTTGAAGATTTGGCCACCAGCTTCCTCCACTCCTTCCTGTGTTCAGCTTTTCTGAGCATGTTTTTGAGGTCCAGGCCTGTCCATTCCTTGATGTTGTCCTCCCAACTCTTCTTCGGTCTGTCTCTGCTCCCTTTTCCCTGGACGCTGCCTTGCAAGATTATCTTGGCACGGCCGGATGAACGGGTGATATGTCCATATCTATACGTTCTTATACCTCTCTGACTGTCTAGGTCCATATCATTGCAGGTTGAGTTTCCTGACCAGATTGAGAAGGTCAGCATAATTATGACCTGCACATAAACAGACACGATAACCGCCCCGTCTATCTATCTACCCCAGGTGGCTACGTGACCCTTGGCCCAGTGGTCACCGCTGAGCTGATGGGCGTGGCACGGTTGACTCAAGCCTTCAGCCTTCTGCTCTTCTTTATGGGCGTGGCCGGGGCTCTGGGCCCGCCCCTTGCAGGTTCGTCCTTGTTCTTGTTGTTATTTTGCTGAGTTTTTTTGTTTGTTGAGTTGCTCTTCAACAGAGTGAGTGAGTCATTGAGTGAGTGAATGAGTGAGTGAGTGAGTGAGTGAGTGAGTGAGTGAGTGAGTGAGTGAGTGAGTGAATGAGTGAGTGAGTGACTGACTGACTGACTGAAGGATTTTTTGATTGTTTTTTAAATTTGTCATTGATTGACTGATTGACTGATTGTTGGTGGTTGGTTGATTGATTGACTGATTGATTGATAATAGTTGAAAAAATCAATTTATTGTTGATAGATTGTGAATGGTTTTCATATTCCTGCCCCCTACCCCCGCCCCCTCCCTCAAGGAACTAATTCAAGTGAGATCATTCTCGCATGCGAGCTTTTCTACTCTGCCACCCCTGGTTTATCTTCGTTGTATTGGGAGAGACATAAACCTCTGCAATAACAAACAAACAAAAAAAGGTGGGTCAAAGCATCAATGCATAAAATTATGTTATGCTCCTTCTCTTTCTGAAACTCCGCGTGTCTTACGTACATGCAAAACAGAAAAAGCCAACCACTCGTGACGAACTTCCTCATAATTCCCAAGGGTAGCCTGTTCGTTCCAGTTGAGCACACCATCAGATATTATCTAGAGCAGAACTACTTTTCACGCACTGACAGGCTGTCGTTCGCATCTATCTATAGAGGCCATCCAGTATAATAATGTTACTACAGCTGACTGCTTCAATCGAACAACTTTTTGCACTTCTGAGTTATACTTTTTGCTGTTTTTTGTTTTGGTTGAGTACCATGGCGTGCAAAATGTGTCGTCGGGCGGGGTTTTTTTCTGAACGTGTTTCGACCTCAATGAAGAGTTCTTTGGGCTGCTTTAGGTTGCTTCGGTCCTCTCTGTAAAGGCCAACCCGATCTGTGAGGGACAGGCCGACAGGGAGGCAAAAAGATATAAATTGATTAGGAACCTCTTGTGGCCCAGACGTTAAGGTGTTCGCCTCTCATTCAAAAGGTCTCGGGTCCTAATCCGAGTAGCGACGTGAAAACTTTTTTCTCTAACAATGTCTCCTTCCACCTCTTTTCGTGCTCTGTCGTCTGCTTTCGTCTCCAGTATCAACTTTCTGCCTACCCCCTCACCTCCTTTGCCCCCCTCATCTGGGCTCCTGACTTTCTGCAGTCTTTCTACTGCTACTCTTTGGCTCCTTCTTACTGGTGTCTTTCAGCCACGCCCCTGATCTCTGGTAGGAAAGATCTCCATCAAGCCTTCTCGGACAAGGTCGAAAAATCTCGGAGGTCCTTCTGCAAGTTGCGCACGTTAAAGATCCCTTGGGGATCCAAAATCGATAAGAGTAGGCTTCAGCTGCCACCCGGGCAAATTCAAAATTTCCTACCAGCTGAAAATGTTTAATGCGTCCCGCGCGCTCATTTGCCCTTATGCAGTTGCGAGCGCCGTAAAACACTTACAAAAAAACAACAGATATTGGATTAAAATAATTTCTTCTATTAGGAAGAGAACTTCTGTCCGTTACGAGCAGGAAAAAACCCAAGCCAAAACAAAATAACGCAAAATACCCC